AACGACTGAGCCACCCAGGTGCCCCGAAATTGAAGATTTTTATTTTATGCTCTTATTTCTGCCTGTCATATTATGTTATATTTATTAGGCTCTAAAATATGGAAATTGGAGGAAAAAATAACATAATATTTTAGAACCTCACTCTAGTGGTATTTATTATAGCTAATTTCAAAGGATGGTTTAATTTCCATCATATACCGGGTAGGTCATCCCCACAAAGTAAGAAACCATTTCTTGCCTCGTGAGTGAAATAGACCACTGGGTTGTTTTTTTTTTGAAAATCATCTCTGGAGTAGAATGAGCTGGAAATTTTCGTTGGAGATTTTAATTTTTTTCAGCTATTTTTTTTAGCAAGTCTCCTCTCTATCCACCTCTAGACATTCCAACAATGCAGATCCGAAGACCAAACCTAGGACTAGCAATAGGGTAAAAAACCATCCTGATTTGTCCAAGACTGGGGGTTTCCTGGGACACAGGACTTTTGGTGCTAAAACTGGGCCAGTCCTGGGCAAATCGGGATGGGTGGCCACCCCCACCAGATGTCTAACAAATGGCTGCAGTGGAAAGTAGCTGTCATGTCCATGAATTGTTAAAATAGAAAATTTTTTTTAAAGATTTTGGTTTTGGGGTGCCTGACTGGCTCAGTCAGAAGAGCATGCGACTCTTGATCTCAGTGTTGTGAGTTTGAGCCCCACCTTAGGTGTAGAGTTACTTTAAAAAAATTAAAATAAGTAAGTAAATAAAGATTTTAAAGTAATCTATACACACATTGTGGGGCTCGAACTTACAATCCTGAGATCAAGAGTAACTCACTCCACTGACTGAGCCAGCCAGGTGCCCCAAAATAGAAATTTTGATTGAACTAGGTAATGACAACAACCCCCAGGATTTGGGTTGAAGACAGCAGTGACTCCAACTCTTGGAAAATCTGTATCCACATATACATGTTTGCCCAAACCAACTTAAAAAAAAAAAAAACAAAAAAACCAAAAAAACCCAAACCCTCAGATTCAGCACTAAGAAGAACCTGACATTTAGGAAGTGTTACATTTCATGCCCTACCCTTTCAGTTCTCCGCACCCTCCTACAGGATGCCTTCCATGAACACATCTTTAATAACTTTGTCACTGAAGTGACCACAGTACCTCACTGCATCTTTTTCAGCATGTCAGCATGTATGGAAA